TTGCTTTTTTTTTCGAGTTTTCTTTTTACAAAGAATGAACTACATTTAGATCAAATGTAAAATAATGAGACAATTACACATAAGTTAATGCATTATAGTCTACGTTGATCGGATCAAAATGCTTGTCTAATGTTTAAAAAAACAAACATAAATACAACTGAGAATAATCCAATTTAACAGATTCATTAAAATGTATTGCAATAACTTTGAACTATACTATAGACGAGATATATAAATAGATAGATAGATAGATAGATATCTTTATTAACCGATAAAAGATTACTTTTTACCTAACGACTAAATCTTTCGTCTATTACATAATCATTTTAAAACTTTGTGCAAAAGAAAACTAACAATATACAAATGTCAAAACAGTTGCTACAATAGTATACTTTTTATATAACAATATTCTTATGTAATCTATGCATGGATGTTTGTATTACACTTTTTTTCTTTTTCGTTCTAACGTACAAAAATGATTTAAAAAAGTAATTTCTCTCTTTTTTTTTAAAAGAAAAAAGAAAAGAAAAGCAGTTGATGCTACGGGATAAAACATATGCTTTTCTTTTTTTGCTTTCTCTTTTTTTGGTAACATTTGTCTCTGTCTGGTTAAAATATTATTGATATACACATATCTATATATTAGATTCAATTAAATAATCTGTATTTAAAAATATAATTACAATGAGATGACAATTTGTATGGTAAGCCATTATTAAACATCTAGAAATAGCTCATAATCACAATCGATGGATCACTGGGTGGCGATCAATGTCATGCGTGTCTAGTCCTTATTAGTGCAGATCGAATGCTATCGATCATGTTGCAATATGGCCACCAGTCTAGGTGACTCGACACTGTGGGTTTCCTATCGACTACCTCCAATCACCATAGCTCATAATATTCATAATTACTCAATCAAATATCGATTGATGTATTTGTTGGAGGTTCACAGTATGATATAGTATATAATTGTGTAAACAGTAGTGTTAATATTTCAACTTATTTTACTGAGGGTAATTTTAAAAATGAAGATGTAATAACTATGAAAAATATATATATTAATACATTTGAATATCAGTGATAACCTAGTAATGAAAGGAATATATTTCAATGCTTTCTGATCATAGGTATTTCAAATATGAACACTTAATTACCGAGTTGAATTACTTTAAAAGTAATACTTTTCTAATGGAATAATTCAATACTGATGAATGATGAATGACTAGTTTCACAGGTTAAAGAACTTTATTATGTGTATAAATAAGATCATATTTATATCATCAAGGTTATAACTTGTTTATAGTTACAACTGTTGCGAATCTTGATTTTGTTTTACGACATATCATGCATAAGCGAAAATGGATGGTGGCTAGCAGTGAAATCCAGGAAGCCCGTTTCGTCCTATTTGTGACTCGTCAGCTGGATGTACCTGCATCCCACAGTTGATGTTCACTTCGGGATTGAACCCAGTACCATCGCTTCAAACGCCATCTAGCTATCCAGCTGACGAGTCCCAAATAGGACGAAACGTGCATCCTCGATTCCACTGCTACTCACTATTCACCTTTGTTTATTAAGCTTAAGACTTAAAGCTATATCGGGGCAATCCGCACAAGATTTACATATGTCATCAAGAAACTGATCAGTTGAACTAATGTCATTTGTATGATTGTTGTTTTCACAAACTTTTAGTTATTATAACTGGAACACTTGAGTAATACTTTCAAAATAATTATGGTTGTTACCACAATTGATTGATCGCTGGGTGGTGATCAATGTCATGCTTGTCTAGTCCTTATTAGTGCAGATCGAATGCTATCGACCATGTTGCAATATGGCCAACAGTCTAGGTGACTCGACACTGCGGGCACTATGTATTGAGATTTAGATGGTGGTTGGAGGTAGTCAACAGGAAACGCTGGACCCGGGTTTCGTGCTACTTGGCACTCGTCAGCAAGGTGTACCTGTAATCTTGAGGGAACTGGTTCTCCCCGGCGGATTCGATCTCGTGTCACCTAACTTCACAGTCAGAGACGTTACCACTGAGCTATCCGAACCGTGACTAGACAAGCATGACATTGACCACCACCCAGTGATCAATCAATTGTGATTACATCTCAGTCCTACAGGAGGTTAGTCACGGCTCGGATAGCTCAGTGGTAACGTCTCTGACTGTAAAGTTGGGGTTACACGAAATCGAATCCGCCGGGGAGAACCAGTTCCCTCAAGATTACAGGTACACCTTGCTGACGAGTGCCAAGTAGCACGAAACCCGGGTCCAGGGTTTCCTGCTGACTACCTCCAACCACCATCTAAATTATAGTTGTTCAATTACTGACTCTAAACAACTTGAAAATGGATATACATCAATTATTACAGTAAATATCAATGTATCATCCAGTCTTATCCTGTTGTATCCAAGGTATACATTTCACTTTATTTACATTCAATTTGTCAATATTAAACAGACAATCATAAGATGTAATATTCATTCATCATTCTTAACAGAGCTACAATCTACTATACTGTAAATTATTTGAATTGTAAAATCACTTACAAATATTTCTATTGAAACATTTTAGTTACTGAAGTTACATATGGGATACTGTTTTTATAACTATCCAATTGTGAATGTTCACTGTGTATTCATTCTTTATTTTAAAAATAGATTTGTAAATTAATTATCCCAGTTTTTATTTATCAATTTTTTGTTGTTTGGAATATCAATTCTAAGGTATAGAAAATGGTATTTAGTGTTTTCTGTAATGCCGCCAATTTTTAAGCGCCGAATTTAAAAAAAAGAATTTAAAAAATAGTGTTTATTTCTTTTTGAAAGCAACGATTTTATTTAATTTTTAATTAATTAGTTGAATTTTTGGGTCGATTTAAGCCAAACTACCATGGAGGCCGAAGTTCTTGGGTTCGACTTCTGTATGCGCAATGCTGAGGTGTCCCATACTATGATGAAACAGGCATCCACTGCATCCAGGTTTTCCATGATAGTCTGGTTTTAATCAATTCATGAATCCTACTATTAAATTACTGCAATCTCCACAAACCCCCCTTTCTGATAATAATTTTTAATTCAAAAGTCTCCAGATTTTTTTTGTAAAATTAAATATAGGGATTAGCTTTGTTATAATAAATTATCAATGGATTTGAATTATCCCTAAATGTAAAATTTATAAGTTAATTTCATTAGTACACAATGTGGCACATTACATAGACACATTCATCACAAAAATACTTGGAGTGGAGTATATCTCAATTACTGTAGTTTCTGCCCAATGAGTTACAAAAACGGTATTGCACGAACCCTTTTTGACCGCGCTCGCAAAATTTGCCTTGATGACGAAATTACTCTCATCACTAATGTTCTACGTGAAAATGCATATCCATTGAAATTCATCCGGAAATATGCAAAAACCAATCCTCGGACAAAGTATGATAGAGTAGAAAAGAAAACACTTGCTTCTTATATTCACGTTTCAAAGGAGACGAAATTGCTGGATTAATTAATCACAGATTAAATTCCGCGTTGAAAGTGGCCTACCTAGCAGCAAAACTGACAACAGTATGGGAAAAAACTCCTCACTCAAACAAACTAAAATCGACAAATCTCTTCTCTCAGTAGCTCCAACTGCATTTACCAATTCACATGTATGTGCCAAATCACATGCATTGGAAGAACTGAGAGAAGAGTGCATGTTCGCATTTCTGAGCATGTTCCAATGAACTTGAGTCTGCGAGGGATTAGGGCTCTTGACAGTGCAATAGCCCAGCACTTACTTGACACCGAGCATACCATCGACATCCTGGACGCTTTTAAAATTATCAACAGGCAAAGAAGTACGACTGCTCTCCATTTCGCTGAAGCAATCGCGATAAAAAAACATAAACAGGATTTATGTATTCAAAAAGCGTCATTAATAAACTTATTATTACCCTGGTAATCCATTTTTTTTATTTGGGTTATTTTATTCATTTATTTATTTTAAAATATTTATTTTGTGTTATACTCCTCCTCCATTACCTAATTCCTAAACCAACTTTTCATTCACACATTTCCGCCAACTGATCCTCTTAAATTATGTTAACTCTATTTAATTATTACGTAACCTATCTTATCACTGTTTTAATTCCATGACTCCTTCATTACCTCGACAATTATCACACAATTTATGAACTTCACTAAACTATTACACCACTCATCCTGAATTATTTCCTTATTTCTAACACAAATTAACCCCTAACCTATATATATATATATATATATATATATATATATATATATATATATATATATATATATATATATATATATATATATATATATATATATATATATATATATATATATATATATATATATATATATATAGTTATTATTGTAAACCTTTGTCATTCCAGTTATTTACATTCATTTATGTCATTTGTTTCACACTATTTCTTATCCCAATGTAAAATTCTATTACATATTTGGTTGTAAGCAGCTGACGAGAAGCCTCGAAATATTATGAATTCATACTACTCTGCATCAATATTTGTTCTTGCTTTATTTAAATTCATAAAGGGAACTAATTGCATGAAACTAATATGTTTGGTTGAATTTAGAAGTCAACAATTTAACGTATTAATGAGAGTAGATAACTTATCAAGCATTGCTTTGTGTTTTCCACACACGCACACACACAGTTCTATGCATGTTCGGTTTCACATATTAACTATTTGTAACAATGGTTTCTAGATATCGTTTTGCACATGAAAATTGTTATATTAATTGGGAGAAATACAGATATATAGTTAATTTCTTTGTGGATTTAGGAGCAGTATTGTTTAAGTGCTCTTAGCCAGGATAAAACAGATTTTCAAAAGTTACGCAAACAGTTTCGAATGAATAATGAACGAAAAAACCAACATCTCTTCATGTCAAGTGACGAATTGTTTATAGGCAAATATTAAATTTGTTTAAAAAGAAGGTTTCTTTATCAAATTACCTCTTAAAGCAGTTCTTAATTTTGCCAGTTCTTTATGCCATCGTCCTAAGTAAGTTGATAAACTTTGATGCAATTCTTCTGTAGTTTTCTGTAATAATCCTAATTCCATTTGAAATGTACAACATGTATGCTTTGGTAAATCGCTATCCAACGAGTAACACAAACTTTGATGATATAATTGTGAATGATTAGCATCCCAAGTTAAGTCGGATAAACTCCTACCTTGACCAGCATGAGCTCGATATGTATCCAGAAAGTTATACTCCAATAATTGATTAAGTTGTGTCTCAGAGAGCCATAAATATAAGGATTCTTTAGCATTTCTTGAATTTTCATCTACCGTTGTTGAAGTGGTTGTGTTACTAGTACGATCATTATCTCGTGATAATTGTCGATTTTCTGTATTCGGCTTTTGTCGTTGTTCACTTTGAGTAGTTGGATTCACTAAAAATGTACATGAACCAAAGAAATGGGTAAAGAAAGTAGAATTCAGTTTTATTTTTGAAGTTGTTATAAATATTTTTATCATACTATACTGCTGGCTCAGACGTCCATAGGTTAACCAATCTTGGAAGAGACTTAAGTTCCTTAGTTTGTTTCCCGGATGCGCACTGTTGAGGAGACCCACACCAGGACGAAACGTTTGTCTTGGGCTTCCAAGATTTAATGATGATCTAGCTACGAAACTTTTACAATCTCTGCAAGTTAATTTGATACAATCCATATCGGAAACAAACACTTTCAGAAGTTTCAATGTGTCAAACAATTAATGAGGATTGTTAATTATATATATGATGCTTTTAATGAAGATTTCAGTCAATGGATATAAGATTACTCAATCATCTCCAAGTACCATGCTGTAAGATATGCCCATTTTTATTAAAAAACGGGATTCATTGATTATGGTCTCTAAACATTGATGATAATCCATCGTTTGATGTTAAGTAATGCTTCATTGCTTGTTATTTCATTTAATATATTTGTACCTGTGCTGTAACAACAACCTGTACGGTAGCTGACTATCGGCTTATCGTGAAATTTTTTATAATCGCATGAAATAGATTCCGCTGAATTTTCCGAAACAAAGCATTTAAAAGTCAGGAGGAGGGCGCTGAAAACAGTATACCTAATCCTATGTTCATCGAAAACTCATTAGAAATGTTCAGATAATTAACAGATAAGTTACACTTTAATTGGACGATGGATTAAACTTAGTCTAAAATTACCATAGCGTAAGAGAATTCGGAGGTCAAAGATAACTAACACACTTGTATGATAATAAAACTTGAAATTACGCTTCTATGATTACTTCATTCTTCTTCTCTAATGTTTAAATTCAAGTTTAAAAAAATCCACGGTAATCTACAAATCGTCCAGGAAGTTATTATCAAGCATTCAAATACAAGAAGTAACAGTTTAGACTTTTATCTTCTAAATGAATATATTCTAATCATTAAAAATATCTCTACCATAACTTTATCTATCCACTAAATTGCCCATTTTTCGGATTTAAAAAAATTAACTTTTTTAGTGATATTGTGATGTATGCTACTTATGTCTGTCGACATAAACAGTATATAACACCAATCTTAAGTGGAAAACGTGTCAGCAGAAGGCTATGAAGGTTGACTTGAAGAAAACAGAAATGGAATTAAAAAACGACTATGAATTGGAAGAATCATACAGAATATGAAAGAGAACTAATGGGAATTTTCAAATGAACTATTTAATGTATAGTTCTTATATTTTACCAAGACACTACTCTGAATAAGTGGCTTACACTGTATCACTATACCATACTTGTCATGACTTTAGATTGAATGAGTTCCATTGACATGTTCTGTTTGCAATCATGTATTGTTTTCATTAGTCAAAGGTGAATTTTATGATATTTTACTTATCCAAATACGATATAATTTACATTTGATCAGTGTTTCTAGAACTCTGTCGTATCTTTTTTTTTAAAAAACCATCTTTTTAAATGAATCGGCAAAACATAAGAACAGTATGAAATATAATCAGTTTTATACATCTACATTTTTATTCATTGTATTGCTTTAAAATATTATTTGGAAAATAGTATACATACGTCAATTTTCTATGGATATTTCATCTGTATGTGAGATCTCTTAGATGCAAATTAACATAATGTCATCGTTTATTTTTCTTTAGAATTTGTAAAATGTTCATTGGGAATAAGAAAGTACTTGACTGATAGTCTATCTTAGTTTAAGACATTTCAGTGATGAACAAATAATCCTGTAAGTGATTGAATTGTTAGATAATCAGGCCTTTAGGGTAGACAGGACAGATCACAGGACTTAAAGTGTCGTACTTATCTCAAGATCACAATGTACCTCCCAAATGCCTTGGTACGGCTGAGAGTAGGGAAAATCAGCTCTCCCTCTCGAAATGCTCTCACATGTCCAAGCGTATACAGCTACTGCCAGGAAGGTTCTACTCACTGCATTCTAACCGCACTACTGTTGTTTACCAAATTGAGAGGACGAAAGTGAATGTCCGCTGCTTTAACCAGATTAGTGGATATGGAGGATTCAACTAAGGGAGTTGGAAAACCCTGATTCCAAACCAATGGTGCACATGGGCTCCATGACCCTGAGAGGACGAATGATGTATGAACCAATTGTTGGTCACGGGTTGCCAAGGGACTGCATTTCTTGACGTTGTTGCACTGCCTTATAGATCAGACTTTTAGGTCAAAGGCTCCGGGCTTGGACTCCTAAGAAAACCATCTGTGTGAGGTTTGGAAGTCTGGACAGTATTCCAGCCTCGTGCAAATGGAATGATCTATGTGGCGCATTTGTATTCGATACCCCTTTGTACCAATGTTTCTCTGTTTGAATAAATAATAATAAAATTTCAGAATGTCATCGGTTCAATCTTATATGTAATTTTAAGCCATACTTACTACATTATAGAAGATTATTTTTGAAAATATAAATATTCAGACTATATTATCTAATGGTTAGATACATTTTAAAATCTTTATAAATGTAATTAGAAAACTAAGTCAACTGTAACATTACTATTCATAATAGAAAATTAGACAATGGTCGGTTAGTATTACATTAAAGGAATTGATATCAGCTATTTCCTATCATTGTCAACATAGTCCATTATTCCTATGAGTGATGTTTTTCTTTTGTGTGTGTATGTGTATGTGTAGAAGAAGAAGAATATGGGATAAATGAATATTGCCCACTTTTAAATGATACCGCTAACTGAAATATTCAGAAAATAATAGTTTAAATAGTTTAATTGTATATGATTAGTTTTACTTTGATCAGTATAAATGAAAACATCTTACCACAACAAGAGAAGAGTATAGTGTACTCATATATCATGGTAGAATTTAGTACATCTCAAATATGATACAAATCGATCGATGTTTTGAGTTCAATTGTGTAAAGAAAAATACAATGACCCTCCCCCCCTATGTTATTTAAATTTCCATTAAGTTGACTAGAATTGAACCTTTCGAATATTTTATTTAAATAAATTCAATGACATTATGCTTATTTTAATCATTTAAAGATCTTAAATTTGATCTCCGGTTCATTTATTGATATATATAACCTTAAATGAGAATGTAAAAGTTGTCTTCTATGAAATTTATGTTATAAACATACATATACATAATGTAATCATATAAAATTGATCATATACTACTGATTATTTTCAATATCCATAACTTTTAACTTGATAAAAATTAAAACACGAATTTCAGCGAAGGGATCTCTTTTCAACGAATTTATTATCAAGCTGTACTTTCACAACATTCGTAAATAGGTATAAATTGAAAATTATACCAGCTAAATAGGAACTTTTTTTCTAAATTTGTATTGAATAGTTTCAGAATATTTGGACTCCAAGTTGATGTGAGATATTAAAAAGGAAGAATATATTTGTAAAATCTCAACGATTTCAAATTGTTTCGCTGAAATTTTAAAAATACATTCTTATTCTTCAATGCTTTTATCATTATTACAGTATTAGAAAAATAATGAGGTCTTAATAAAATATAATTGGAATTTTGTGTGTATCCTTTTAGTTTAATAAAGATTTTTATTACACAGTAGTGCAAGAACGTATATATGTAATTACGGACTGTAGATTTATTGGTGAGACTATAGTTTATGGATGACCTTTCACAATTGATTGATCACTGGGTGGTGATCAATTTCGTGCTTGTCTAGTCCTTATTAGTGCAGATCGAATGCTATCGATCATGTTGCAATGTGGCCACCAGTCTAGGTGACTCAACACTGCGGGCACTATGTATTGAGATTTAGATGGTAGTTGGAGGTGATTACATCTCAGTCCTACAGGAGGTTAGTCACGGCTCGGATAGCTCAGTGGTAACGTCTCTGACTGTGAACTTGGGTGACACGAGATCGAATCCGCCAGGGAGCGCCAGTTCCCTCAAGATTACAGGTACACTTTGCTGACGAGTGCCAAGTAGCACGAAACCCTGGTCCAGGGTTTCCTGTTGACTACCTCCAACTACCATCTAAATATGGATGACCTTTGAACAACGCCATACTAAACTTCAGAGTGTCTTTCTGATAACTAGGATCAAATGAGGATTACAAACTAGTGTGAGAAAATAGAATTATGATTTACAGTTATTAATGATGGTTAGAAATTGGATTTAGGGTTTTCATCATGAACTGACATTATCTATAATGCCAAAACTTTATTTATCCGAATGAATAAGTGAATTTCACTCCAAAATTCGACACTTGTTATCTCATACATGATTGGTTCGTTCATAAATTATAGTCTCGCCGATTTATTTTTCTAGAAAACTAAGCAAATCGTCTTTAAGCATATAATATGATTTCATATCATTCATCTATAGTTCTTATCATAATCATTCAGTGTAAGGAAGAAAGAAAAGAAATCTATTTTCTGTTCTATTAGGAATCTCCCAGTGAACTTTGATTCATTCGGTAAGTTGTCTAATATACCCTACAAAAATTTAACAAGTGTCTAGGAAATGAACATATATAAGATGTTTATTTCATAGTTTCAACTTCAAAAGACTTTTGTTTTCATTATTTCCATCATATTTTTTTGTCCACGAATAACTTTATCGTTCTAAATATTCGAAAATCTTTGCTTACCATTTATCAATGTTGGAATTCTTTTTGTTCTTCTATAGTTGATAGTGTTATGTTCAATCTTACTCTCTCATTCGCTCAGTCTGTTTGTGTGTTATTTGAAAATGGATTCATTCACAATTTAAACACACTGGAAAAAAACAAACATATTTCACCGAAAATTCACATTTTTCCGCCAGTCAACTTCATAGTCTTAAAATTCAGTCAACAGATCAAGAATATAACACTTGACATGAGATAGATGGGATTTTCTAAAATAAAAACTTCACTATATATATATATATATATATATATATATAT